TATATATATATATATATATGTAGACACATGTATATGTGTATACGTGCATGTATAGGACTGAGAGCGTGAAAATTCGTGGGCGATAAACGCTGTTGCTGCTATGTCGTTAATCATTCTGTCTCGGTGGAAGGAGGGAAGGAAGAAGGATCGTTGCGGCACTCGTGATTTCTCTCCGACAGCAGCGAGTAGAGCTGCAACCTCGCTTGCTGTTACTTTTACTTTTTCTCTCTCTTTTCCCCCTCTCTGTCTCTCTTCCTTCCTTCCTCCTCCTTCTCTCTCTCTCTCTCTCTCTCTCCTTCTGTTTCTTTTAATTTACTTTGCTTATTTCTTCGATGTATGAACATTTGATACGACTCGTTGCTACAAGGACTATTGGGATTTCGGTGGTCCCTCGATGTATTTGTGTTTAGGTGAGGGCGAACAATGGCGGGGCACGCTCTCTCGTCGACCGTATCGATCGATCGCGGAAAGAATAAGAAGGACGCCTATATATATTGAGAATATGTGTTAAGCACTAAGGTTCTGGAGTAGTTGCTATGACCGTCCTTGTTTAATGACGTCAGAAGCGAGAAAACGCATGCCAAGATTTTTTGCGTTATATTTTTAAATAAAATGATATATCCATAAAATAACATTCGTGACCAATTCAACGCGTTTATAAAATTGGACGAACAATTTTCACTTACTCGAACAATCAACAAATAATCACAAAATTAATTTGACATTGAACTTTTTTTCCAGCCTCTTTTCATGATTTTGTCGATGTTAATTTTAAGACCATTTGTTGACTATTCGAACAAAACAAAAGTGTTCGCCCAATTTTACAAGTTTGTTGAACCGATCATAAATATCATTTTGTAGACATATTTTTTTATTTGAAAGTATAATGCAAAAAGTTTGGACATATGTTTTTTTGCTTCTGACGTCATTAAACAAAGACAGTCACAGAGCCTATTCCGGAGCCATAACTTAAACGCGTAGTGCGACCGTATCGACCAACATTAAGTCACGTGTGACGGATTAAAAAGAAAGAAAATAAAATAAAGTAATCGCAATCTCGATACATTTTTCTTGATGGATATATACAAGTCGTGCGAGATCGCTCTTAACACGAATGGAGGGATTTCAATCGGTTGATCGGTCGCCGGTATTGTACATATCGTTAAAATATAGCTATTAATTTCTGAAACGTATATGCGAGATTTTATACGTACACATCTCATCTTCGCGCGCTCAGCTTTCGCAACGTTTTCCGTTGTGCTCCTCAGAGAGACGTCGATGGACGGCGAGTTCTCGCATTTTCTCAAGATTACTCGCCTATTGTACATCTCGATTTTACGTTTTCTTTTTTAACATTTTTTTTAATGCTTTTCTTCTATCGATCTTATCATGTGCTCGTTAACCAGTACCACCAGCTTCTTGCGTGTCTCTCTCGCGCGAGAAGAAATCGTGTATCTCAAATTTTTAAGATAAGACTCTTTCTCTCTCGATGTGTGGTAACCGAAACACGTATGCAAATTTACTCACAAATTTGGAGAAAATTGTTTCTGTCGCTCCCGTTTCTCCAACAATGGCCCTCCCTCCGTTGATGTCACACCTTTGTAAGAATCTCGTTTTAATATTGTCTCACACAAGGAATCATGTATAAAGTAACCGAAAAGTACACTCTCTCCCGAGATAGTTGTGAATGTGATGTTTCACGCGTTCACCACGCATTTAGCGAGTTTTTATTAGGACCCTTGTATTGTACGAATCGCCATGCATTTAGCAAAATAAAGCGAATTCTCAGTTTAGCGTGCCATATGTTTTTGAACGCGAACCAGCCAACCAGCCAGTTGCGCGCGTTATCGACGATACTGCGTCGTCGTCAACGTCCCAATCTTCTTCCACAACCACAATCCTGCCGCAACGAGAGAAGAAAAATCGAAAGAACCTCGACGCAAAATACTCCGGTCGGAACTCGGTAGAGTGAGAGATGCCGTGCTCGTATACTTGCATATGAGGGCGGTTCGACATTCCGTTCTTCTCCGACTTTGAACGAGCGGAGATGTGTTGTAATTCGCGCTACGGTGACTCGTGTTACGCGGTAGCGGCGTGTCACAAACACACTCTCCTTCCACCCGCGAGATAAGCCATCCGTTTTTCTATTATAGCCGACTCCGACGCGCTAACAAGATCCTCGATGAAGACAACAACGACGATGACGATGTCCGTCCACATTTGATCTGTCGAAAGACCGCCCTCTGATTAATGGGGGGGGGGGGGGGNTAATAAATTCACGTTGCCCAAGCTATGGACGAACGTCGTCCATCATCGAGACGCATTTAACGCGCGATCACACTGAGAGAGAAAACCGATTAGAACTTACCAAATCAACGTTTAAAAAAACATTGCGTCCAATGAAAAAATTATTATTATGATTATCATCTTTATTGAGGTATTGATATAATAGTATCTTCGACTTTTACAATAAATTATAGTTTAGATAATACATCCAAATGGCGGGGCGACAGCTGAATGCTGTTATCAGGCTCGACTTGAACATATAATAAGGAAATAAAAATAAAAGCAGAAATATACATTATAGAAAATTCAACATCAGACTAAAATCAATCAATCAGACAAAATCATAATAATTATAGTAATATAATAAGTATTGTTAAATAATATACTCAAATATGGCAGAGCAACAACTAAATGCTATTGTTAAACTCGAACTGAATACGTAAAAATAAAATAATAAATGAATATACATTGAAAATAGAAAAATTCAAAATTAGACATCGTAAGAGATTCGGAGGACATGAAGTGATATATGTAGCAGCGGGAGTCCGGAAAGAGACGACCGGCTTTATTCGTTGACGCAACGACACATTGCTGATAACACGTTGCCAAATCGCAATCACTGAATCGATCGACAACTCATCGCGGCAATAGTGTAAATTTGTTCCGTCGACTGAATCTTCACCCGGACGAATGCCGATCGAATTCGACCAAAATCTCGTTGATTCCGCCGCTTTTTTTTCTCAGTGCTGGGATGCATTATTTCGGCGAATTGTTCCCGCGACGAAATTACATCATCGGTTTCTCCTGCTATCTTGAGAGCGACGTGTGCGCACATTGGAATATGCCATAGCGATATTTTTGTGAAGATACGAAGGGTACGAGACGGTACATTCGTGTCCGAGTTCTTCTCAGCGGTATCGAGACTCGCAAATTAGTAGCTCGTTTATGAATGTGTACATTTCTCTCTCTCTCTCTTTCCTCTTCCTGCGATGGTGTTTCCTCAGCTCTATTTCTTTACCGTTTTTTCCGTCCTCTTTCTCTCCTGTCGTCCGTATATTTATCTTCTGTAATCTCCGCCTCGGGGAGGCGGACGGTCCGTTCTCGTTGACTTGTACGACGAGCGTCGTCTCTTCGCGGCAATTCGACCCGCGTCGCGGAAAATCGGACGCATTGGAGTATACCGAAGTATATTATGCTGATACTGCCATATAATAACTACGTAAGGAACCAGCGATTTGGTACGAGACTCTCACGTATCCGCCTTATAATCTCTCAAGTTTCACATCATTCCGTGGTGCATCATTATCCTCCCTTTTCCTTTTTCTGTCTCTTTGTTGTCATCATTATCATCTGGTCGTTGTCATCACTCCCTTCGTGAACCCGCAAGAGTTCATTCATTCTCGATATTTCTCGGGATGGAATTTCCTTCAAAACGAGTGAAAAGTGGTGGTATTTTCGTTCAAAGCTATGGTGCAAATATACACCACTCGAATCGACTCTGCCACGAAGAGCACATCGTCGAACTTATTTCGTCGATTTTGTTTTCGAACCGAGCAACCGCGCGCGATTCTCTCGTCCATGACGAATTTATTGCAGCGCGTTGATTTCGAGAGCGCCTTTATCGCTCGAAGAGATGCCCATTTACAGTGTCGTTTTGACGATCTCCGTGTCTCCCCCCNTCTCTCTCTCTCTCTTCTCGGCATGACCATGACACGATAATCTTATTTATTTTACTCAAGTGCCGACGTTATTCATGCGCAATGAGACGCGCATCGGGATTCGCTCGCGAATGTGAAAAGACCGATTTTATATTGACGAGTTCTGCGCGAATCTCGCGCGCATTTTGCGCGCTCACGCGAAATCCTTTCTTTTCTTAGCGCATCTAAATCTGGAGTGGTACATAGTAATCAACTAATAAGAATATTAACGATAGGGACACTAGTAAACGATAGTTAGACTTAACGACGATTATGTGTGCGATCGTGGAAAAGAAAAAAAGAACAAACGTCCGGTATTCTTCGTCTCGTTGAATCTCTTCGCGGAGAAAAAAGTCCGGTTGATACTTACGATTTGAATTTATAACGGTAAAAACCGAACCAAACGTGTCCTTTGGTCGAAAGGAACGGGATCGTTTCTTACCATAAAAAAGGGGAATTTAATTCATAGGAACCGAAAATACCTCTGAGCGAGACACGTTTAGTTCATTTATCGTCGGATGAATTCAACCGAACTCTTTCTTTCCGTGGTTTATTATTTGTCGAACCGATGAGACGTTTTCCTTCAATCGGATTAAAAGATTTTAACTCCTTTGATTCAGTTGTATTTCTCGATAATCCAGCACATTATTGACTCTCTCGCCGCGACGCATTCGCCTGTCGGAACGCTCCGTGCGGCGGAAGAATAGACGCGCGTCGATTCTTCCAGTGTTATCGCGTGGATCTCTAATCAATTGTCCGGAACGTTTCGCCGTACTTCGCTAGACACGCTTGTTATAATACTATTATCTTCTCTCTCTCTCTCTCTCTCTCTCTCTCTCTCTCTCTCTTTCTTTCTTTCTCTCTCTCTCTCTCTCTCGATTCCTCATTTCAGTCCAGTGCGAAATGACTTGGAAATTGGATCGTAATCTTTCCTGTAATAATAATCGAATAATATGACATAGAGGTGAAAAATTGTTCGTTAG